TTTCAAAATGGTCATAAGTAGCACATGGGGGTCTGTAAACACTTACAACAATGAGGTGCTCGAGCTCGACACAAGCCATTTCTACAGTTCGTTCAACAGAGAGGCTCACAATATCCTTACGTTCTTTATATAATAATGATTTATCTGCTAATATTAAGGAGCCACCACGTAAACTTTTTTCTCTATTGAAGGAACTGACCACCTGGTGATTTCTGAAATTAAACATGAAATTATAATCTTTTAGCCAATGTTCAGTAATACAAAGGATGTGTATATTGTTACTATTTAAAAACAATTCAACTTCCAATTCTTTGCCCAACATGCCTTGTATATTTTGATGCACCAGGTGTAAACAATTTTTATTACTTATTTGTGGGCTGTATTCAAAATTAATTAAACTCTTATTATTGCTAGAGATTGCCTCTATTGTCACATTCACTAATTTAAATTAGTTGGAACTGATTCCAAATTAAATGTCAAATGATTTTGCTCAATAAAAGCAGTCTTGGTAGCCAAAAACTTGGCTGAGTTAAAAAGTAAATAATAAGATAGCACATTTGCTATCAGTCTTAAATTATATTTGGATAGGTAATACCTATCTTTTGTCCAAAACTTTTTTATTAAATTATTTATGTCAATTACATGAAATTTATGATTATTATCATTAGAATTATATGTCAAATTTAAATTATTATTAGATATTAAATTATGCATTTGTATATTTAAATTATGTCTTAAATTATTTTCTTGTGGCAATCCCTGTATATAAGGCAGTGTGAACAAGACAATTTTGTGTACATTTAAGTTATTAAGTTGTTCAATATATCTTAATAACTGTTTGTTGTTGACACTGCCTCTTCTACCAACAAAAATTATTATTGTACTATTTGGGCAAAATTTAGTAACAATAATTTTATTTAGGATGTCACTAAAAGATGCTCCAGGCATGCAGCAATTTGTAACTTTTTGTCCCTTTAAAGAGTTATTTAAAGTTATGCCTAGATTTTTTCCCATGTCATCGCTATAAACAATTATATTAGAGAGAGCATGTATATTTTCTGGGACTCTGTGGAGTCGAGAAAGTGGTATCACTACCCCATATCATCCCGCGAATGTCATAAGAGGTGATAGAGGGAACAAGTCAGGAGATGGGTAGCAGCTTCTTCATAATAACGAATAAAATTAAGTAATTGCGGTTGTCTATGGAGGTTGCCTATATTCAGTAGTAGACTTTAAAAGGCTGTAATGGTAACAATAGACTAAATGAAAATATAATTTGACTTTTGTATTTTCTGTGCCTAAGTCTGTGCCAATATGTTACTGTCTCCGTTGTCAAATGCCTTAGAGTAATACATACATGCCATCAAAAACATAACTTGTAAAAAAAGCAAGTCTCCCAACTCAGTTCTTCTACCGCAAAAAGTTGTGAGATCCATGTAATACCGTTATTATGTTGGTTAATTTATTCAGTCCCTACTTAGGGTCCTTCTAAACTACTTGTTCAAATTTGATGAAATTTGAAATATACCAAGTTTATACAATGCCTACTTGACAAATTAAATTCAGGCTTCTTATTTTATCCACAATGAAGTTATAGGGTTTCGAAAATGGCCTGAACTGCTTCGAGAAAATGTTGGTACGGCCGTGCCGCTTTTTTGCTCGACTTATCTGGAAGTATTGAATATTATTATTCCGTCTTCCTTTTCTGAAGATAGCCAAAAGAAATAATGTTATAATAAAATAACTCCGTAAATTGAAAGCCATTTGTTGCTTTTATAGCAGTTTTGAATAGAAATAGTTATCAATTTGCTGCGGTAGAGTTTGAGGCGAACACGTACAATGTTTACTTGTATTATTTCTTTTTTTATTCTCTTTTGTTTTATGCAATTTTATTAACAATTTGAGGGTCGTCTAAAGTCGTCGGGTGATTCTAAAGAATTTCAATTACTAGCCATTTGCTCCGGATTCGCACGCATGCGATTCACTAATGTAGTGTTATCTCCTTAGCACTTGATCAAAAAGGTAGGTATCTTGTTGTAGGTGGTGACTCTTTTTCTACCTAGGGCCACTTTGGGTAGGTTTTTTATTTAATAAGGGTGACAAACGAGCACAAAGTCGTCCTCATGGGAAGTGAATGCTGTGGCCATGCAAGAAAGCATTCGTGCTACGACCTTGATTTAGCTGCAGCTTGGCATTACCACGTATAAGGTCTCACCTTTTTAACTATTTCTGCCGCCAAACAATTGTACGTGCACTTCTGTGTTCCGGGCTGAAAGAGATAGAGAGACATCTATCCATTCATCCATCTTTTCTCAGAGATGACAATGCATCTGTATAGTCTTCTTTGTTTGAAGTTAGTTGCAGGTGTATTTGAGCTGTATCAGCCTCAATCCATCAAGTGTAGTATAAAAAAAAAGTGGTGCCGGCGGGATTCAAATTTGGGCTGCTCGTATACTATGAAAGTTACGGCAAACGCCGCTGAGCTACCATAATTGATAACGCTAGTTGAAAACTTTATTTATTAAAGTTGTTGATTACTAGGTAACGCAGTAGCTAAGTATTGAATAGCGGCGCTACGGAACGCGAGTTTAAACCCGCATGAACTAAACGTTTGGTGTGGACTACAAAAGTTTCGTCCTCAGTCTGGATGTTCATCCTTTATTTATTGTATGTAAAACGCCTCCATGATACAGGAAAATTCTAGTGTGGAGAAACGTAACGATTTTATAAAAACAAAGAAAAAAGAAAGAAAAATAGTTTATTTTCGAAAGGAGACCTCGATTAAGAATCAAAATGAAGTCACTGTCAACCCTGTGAACTAAAACGGAATACCTCACCACCAATAACAGACTCCCTGGTTCTCATATATTGCTATATGAAACACATCACAACATTATGGTGCTATTTCGTGAAGGTAGTAAGTAAGTAGTTCAGGAAGTAAGAGCTTTCTTTCACTATCGAGTCTATCTAGTCATAATAAAACGGTAGCGTCCCATTACATTAAATAAGTTTGCGCGTTTACCGCTAAAAAGAACTCCTTTGTCGTATCTCCTTAGTTTCAAGGCACTCCTCTTGTTGCCTCAGCCAGTATCGGAATCCTTGGCGTCGACATATCGAGTGACGTGCAGATTGGCCTCTAAATAGCTTGGTGTGCTCAGCAGAGCGGGACAGTATTTCATGCCGTCACAACGCCTGCAACTTTACAAGGCGTAGGTTCGGCCTCACATGGAATACTGTTCCCATCTCTGGGCTGGAGCTCCCCAGTTCCAGCTCCTTCCACTTGACCGTATCCTCAAGGCTCGAATCGTCGACGACCGAGTCCTTTCCGATCGGCTTGATTCATTGACGCTGCGAAGAGATATTGCATCTCTTTGAATTTTATTTCGCATTTACCACGGGGAGTGCTCTGAGGAATTGTTCGGATTAATCCCAGCCGCTAAATTTCACAACAGCACATCGCGGCACAACTCCCGATACCGTCCACACCATCTGGATGATTGGCGTCCACCACTGTGCGATTTAGAAGATGTTTTCTTCCTCGCACAACTTCCTTGTGGAATCGATTACCACCAGCGATTTTTCCGGATCGATACGACTTAGGGACTTTCATGAAAAGAGCTTACTCCTTTTTAAAAGGCCAGCAACGCATTTGCAATTTCCCTGGTTCCCCTGGTGTTGCAATTGTTCATGGGCGGCGGTAGTCACTTGCCATCAGGTGGGCCGCATGCTCATTTGCCCCCTCTCCTAAAAAAAATGTTTTTTGTCGGCTACTCTGACCTCGAAGGGCCTTTAGGTAGTAATGGAGCCCTTGAAAACACTTAGAAGAGTAATATTTTTATTTGAATTCATTTATTAAGATATACAAACGAAACAAGGTATTTATAAAAGTATAGTATGTGTACAACACTGTATATACCAAATATTACTTATTGTTTATAGTAAAGAGAAAAGAGTTACTATCACACAAAACACCTATCAAACTGTATAAAAAATATTGCACGAATTAAATATATTCTTTATCTTCTTAATTTTTTTTTATAGGTTATGGTGACAAACGTGCACACAGTCCACCTGATGGTAAGTGGTTGCTGTAACCCATCCCGCATTTCGTTCCATAAATATCGTAAGATACGGATATGGAATATTCCAAAAAGACCTTATGGATTCCGATAGATGGCAGTATAACCATTGCGTTTACGCCAGGCGTAAAATATAGATATTTATGTCTGGCACAAACGAAGCCAGTGCCGGAAAGCTGCGTAAAATGAACGAAATTTCTGGTGAGATTTCCAAGTGAGGTTCCGAACCGGAGCAAAAACCTCAAATGAAACTCTGAAGGTATCCTCGTTTTTGTAAGTTTCATGTTAATATTACAGTGGCATAACAATAACGGAAACAAAGGTAACAGAAGCATGTTCTATAATCCATTAATAAAAAACGCAAGAAATATGTAGCATATCAGTGCATAGTGATCATGAAAGATGATGCAAGTCCTCCATACATTGGGAGAAACCAATGGCCAGTATTTTTTTATAGAATAAGGGTGATAAACGAGCACGCCGTCCACCTGATAATAAGTGGATACTGTTACCTATATAAATCTGTATTTATGCTCGATAAAGAAACTAAATGCTGAAGCGTTGTCAACCTTGACGGCGAAGATGGAATGCCTTGTTTCCATTTAATAGGGTCTCCGATTCTATACAATCACCATACGAAATACAGTAGCATTAAGCTGTTATTTTAGGCTGGTATTCTGTGAGAGCGTGGTCCTTCCTCGGTCGAGCCGACCCATTCGTTGCTACAATCATAATATATCTATATTATAATATATCTATATTATAATATATCTATATTATGATTGTACCATGGCTCTACCCGTATTGTGTGTAGCATAGTATTATACTATGAATACATATATTTAGTGGGTTATTACGAGCTGACCACCAAGAAGATGAATATAAGGTGGAGACAACTAACAACGCTTTATTTTTCCGCAGATCGGCTGGAAGTATACAAACGAGTGGCTGGTGGGCAACGCGCTCTGCAAAGTGCTGCTGGTCATGCGGGCTTTCGGACTGTATCTTTCTTCTAACGTCCTAGTCTGCATTTCCATTGATAGGTTAACATGTTTAATCTACTATTTATTTAAATAACATACTTGTATATTATATATTAAAACAATATTGTATATACAATGACTTTCTTAATGATAAATTTTGACATTATATAATTGCCTTATACATACATATACTTTTAATTATAATTGTTGTAAGTAATTATTTCACTGACATTGTATATTAATAGACTGCTAATGTTAAATGAAAACTAACAACCTAACACTTTAAATTTTACACACCGAATATCGGTAAGACATGTTGATACTAATAACACTAATACCAAGAATATATATCTGCCCATGCAATGTATATCTCACACTTGTTTTAGTAAATAAAATATCTTATCTTATCTTATAATAAAAATATCAAAGTTATACCGATAGGTCTCCTGTCATCGTCTATATATATATATATCTATATAGATCCAATAACTAAACATCAATATTTTTAACAGTGGTAGAGCCACGCGGCAGCTTTTGCTGTCGTATGGATGGGCCGGCTCGAATCGGGGTGGTACCACGACCTCACAGAAAACCAGCGTGAAGTAGAGGTTTACCTTTGCGTTTCGCTTGGTGAGTGCAGGTGGCCGGAGGCCCTTTTTACTGGAAATGAGGCATTCCATCTTAGTCCTCACGGGTGACAACGCATCTACATTTTGATTTGAAATAGAGGATAGATGTAGATGTCTATAGATGTATATATATATATATATATATATATATATATATACTAATCTAAACAATTTTTAATATGTATATAATATGATGGCTCCATGGCGCAGTGGCTTAGCATTGAGTTTAGCGTCGAGGGCCAGAAGCTCGAATCCCGTACGGTACAAGGGTGTTTGTATGGCCTACAAATAATAATTTCGGTTCTGGATGTATGTCGTTGTGCAATTTATGTTTGTAAATTGCCTCCACAATACAACAGAAAAACCTAGTGTAACCCTTTATGAAGAACATTGGTACAATGTGTCCAATATCTACATATCGGGTGACAAACTAAATAATTATCAGATACCGCTGCAGTACAACGTTATTTCAGAACATCTTACATCCATTTCAAAAAAATAATAATAATGTAAAATATCTATGAGATACACTGATTCGCATTTCGAGCGAACCATGAGCGCAAGAAATAATGCGAGATTTATATTATATTTGAGTAAAACAGATATACCTACTCCGACTCTTCGTTAATGGGATATATTTGTTTTAGAGTATCTATGAACTTTAATCAATACGAATAAAAATACTTAAATATTACCATATTATTCATATTGTAGAAAATCTAATCCATCAAAAATCGCGTAACACAGTGTAGTACTGAGTACTGACTCCCTTAGAGTGACAGAATCAAATAAATATCAACCGATAAATAGAAATTGAAATACATTAGATTTTCATAACCAATACATATGTAGATACAATTTGATATAAGGTAAGAGTGGTATTACCCATGCACTAATTGGATATGGAATTGGTCTTCAACTTCAGCGCGTATTTACTAATTCAGAATCAAAATGTAGATGGTGACGACGCGTCTTTATTTTGATTCTGAACCGAGATTAGATGTAGATGTCTAAGGGCCACAGCATTATTTTTCTATAAAGTAAGTTCTTTCGAGAACTACGCTCGTATGTTTACCAGGGACAAATTTTCCAACTAGGTTAGTCCAAATTCAGTCGAGAGGTCAATTGGCGGATTCAAATCCTTTTGGAAGCGTTCAGGAAACTAGGACACATGCTCTCGTCTCAAAACAGGATTGTGCTTTTGTTCAGCAGTGGACTTGTATATAGTGCTGTAATGATGATGATTACAATGTAGTAATAGTTTTTACAGATTATTTAATTAATGTATTCAGCTTGTAAAGCTCTATATTATATCTGTGTAGCAACGAGTGACTTGTGAATGACCAATTGGGTAGTAAATTAGCACATAAATTTGCACTTAGCTATTAAATACAATTACGGTTACCGAGTGGAACCGTAATTGTATTTAATGAAAATTACCTACAGCCTATCGAAAGTCAAAGATTTCCCCCATAGATTACTTAACGTAGGGAGATATGACATAAATAAATATTAAATAAATAAATGATTAATTTTATCTATCCTTTGTAACATTTTAAATTTATACGAAAGCTGTAACTAGATATAAAGCTATTAGTATTTACTGAGATGTTACCGACGACAGCTATAGAAGTATTAACTGTCTCACAGCTGGGTGCGTCTTCTACCCTGAGAACTGGTACACGTTTAAGTAGTAATTTAAGTCTTATGTCGTATGTCATTTGATTTATATTTTATTTAAGTCGTATGTCATTAAGACGTTTGTTCCTTACACATACTTTTGTTATCTTTACAAAAACTAAGTAACAATATAATGCAAGTGTCGTCTGGCGACGGTGTAAGTGTATCCACTACTCCATATTTTACCGTAGGCGTCGTAACAGACGACAGAGGGAACCTGAAACAGGAGATGGGCAGCAGCATCTTCCTGATAACAACTCGAAATAATAAAAAACGTGTGTGTGTACTAATGAACGCACGTAGTAAGTTATACTATAGCGTAAGGAAGCAAAAATAACTAACAATTATTTAAAATTCTGGTGACAATTAATTGACAGCTCCGCGGCGCAGTGACTTAGCAATAAGTTGCAGCGCTAAGGGCCGCGGGTTCGATCCCCGCTCGGAACAAGAATTTTATGGGTTACAAAAAATTGTTCTGGGTCTGGATGTTTGTACTTGTGAAATCTATGTACGAGTATGTAAACTGCCCCCGCGATATAGGAGAAAATCCTAATCTGGAGGTAACATTTTCAATAAAAAATTTAATTTGTTTTTATTAAGATTTTTGAACCTTATATACTCTTAATATTGTTTCACAAATTAAACATACAGTCATCACGTCTTTTGATAGGTAAATTTAACTTTTATTTTTATAAAGATATAAATAAATATATTAACAATTTTACATAATTATGCTGCAAATCCAAAACTGTGGTACAATCTTCACAATTAAGTGTGTTTTACAAAACTCTATCCACCTTTAATATATTGCTAAATATTGTTTTTCTTATGTGTATGTAAAGAATGTATATCCGTCATACAGCAACACTTTTGACGTTGCATTACGTATATGACGTCAAAAGTGATGCTGGATTGAAATATATGTATATTTCTTTTGAGGATGTCCATTTTTTTTACTTTTTCTTTGTCTATTATTCTTATCTTTAATTAAGATATTGTCTTTATCCTTTACCTCTTCATTGTTGTCACTTCAACACCACTGATTGATGTAGTATAAGCAGACAAGCTAGGTACAGGTTCAATATCTCTGTACTGATATGTAAATGATCTACGTGGAAGATGAAGATCAACCTGAAAATCAAACAAATTAAATAGACAAGGCAAACTTATTTCACAGAACTTTTTTGTAATGCAAGAGCAATCTAACATAATCTAATATAGCTGCTTAATGCTGCTGTGTTTCGTATGGTGATTGTAGAGAACCGGAGACCCTTTTTACTGGAAACGAGGCATTCCATCTTAGTCCTCACGGGTGACAAAGCATCTGCATTTTGATTCATAATGGAGGATAGATGCAGATGTCTATGGGCAACAGCAACCACTTACCATCAGGTGAACTGTGTGCTCGTTTGTCACCCTTATCCTATAAAAAAAAGACATAATATATTCTAGCTTAACAATAATATATAGAAGAATAATTCAACTCCTACACAATTATTTTGTCTACACAATTCGGATTGTATGTAGTAAGATATTAAGAACATCTTTTTATTGTTATGAGTGTAATAAAAAATTTATGAAATATATATATTGAAATACCCATTTATAGTATAGGTAGAATAGGTTACAGGTTTCATTATTTATTTTACTTTCTTTCAAAGATGTGACTTTGACGCGACGATACAACTATGTCTTGACTAGAAAGATAATGATAATATTTAATAGATAAATATAGCATATTTTTGTATATTAGGCAAATTAAAAGTTAAGGCTTCAGCAGCCTTAACTTTTAATAGTGGTAAAGCCACGCTGCAGCTATATTAGTAGTACAGTTGTAGCAGGAATGGGTCGGCTCGACCGGGGAAGGACCACGCTCTCACAGAATACCAGCGTAAAAGAGCAAGTAGTAATAGTAGTAGTAGTAAAAGTACAAGAATTTTCGCCTGTATCCTCCTGTAGTATTTTACATTCACAAATTCCACAAGGAAAATATCCAGACGGCGCACAATTATTTGCGTACGGAATTCAACCTCATTACTCTTAGTGCTGCAACTCAATGCCAAGCCGCTGTGCCACTGAGCCGTCAAGATATAGCTGAAACCCTTGTTGCAGGTTTTTCGCAGTGTTGTATCCGTTAAAAATGCGAGTGGCGCGCAAAAGCAGTCAACACATGTTGTACTGCGCGTGGGCGATGGCACTTGCGTGCAGTTTGCCTCAGGTATGTAACCAGTTTGTTGACTTGAATACTAGGTACTATTTGCGGTTACTGTTACCGTCCCCCATAAATTTTCTCATAGTGGTAATTGCCATGGTTGCCACGCTTAACTGGCGGATTGGCAACCACTGTTTTTTATTTTTTTGTTATTATTAGGTAGGTGCGGTTGCTTACCAACTGTTTTTTTTTAATAGAAGAAGGGACATACGACCATGCTGCTCACCTGATGTTGTCGACTGCCGACCGTGACAACTACAACACCAGGGGATTTGCAGGTGCGTTGCCGGCACTGGTTTGTTTCGCTCTGTCGCCTCTTACGACACGACTCGGATATGATATGAGGAAGTAGATATTATTACTCCTCCCTTACACGGTCCATAGTGATATTATTTAGGTATATAAATTAGCCGTGTAGTGGCGGTCAAGAATATCCACTACCCCATATCCTCCCGTGGGTGTCGTAAAAGGCGACAAAGGGAAACAGGCAGGAGATGGGCAGCAGCATCTTCCTGATAATAGCCAAATTACAATAAAAAAACTGCGGTTGCCAACCCGCTCGCCAAGCGTGGCAACTATGGCAAATACCCCCCTATGAATGACAGTAACAAAGAAACGGCCCCCAGTCCCCGGCGGCCCCGCTATTCCTGGCTACGGTGGCGACCATGGTAACGGCGGGGCAGGGGGTGCTAAGAATCTCCGGTGGAGGTTCGGTTGCCACCTTAGACGACTCGACCTGGCAACGTACAACGCACGCACCCTGAGGACTGACGAGAAGATTGTGGAGCTGGAAGAAGAGATAGACAAGTTGCGCTGGCATATTATAGGATTATCCGAAGTCCGAAGAGAGGGGGAGGACACGGTAATCCTCGAATCCGGCAACTTGCTCTATCACCGGGAGGGCGACCATCTGTCCCAAGGAGGTGTCGGATTTATCGTCCACAAGTCTCTCGTTAACAACGTGGTAAAGATCGGGAGTGTGTCGTCGAGGGTTGCGTACCTTATACTCAGAATCACCAAACGGTATTCGCTGAAGGTCATACAGGTTTACGCACCAACCTCGGCACACCCCGATGAGGAGGTGGAGGAAATGTATGAGGATATCTCTAGAGCCATGCATTCCTCCAAAACCCAATATACGGTGTTAATGGGAGACTTCAATGCAAAACTAGGCACAAGAGAGAACGGTGAGCTGAAAGTAGGGAAATTTGGAATAGGGCAACGGAACCCAAGGGGCCAGCAGCTGGCCGACTTCATGGAGAAAGAGGGACTCTTTATGATGAACTCTTTCTTCCAGAAGCGGCCCCACAGGAAGTGGACCTGGTCGAGCCCCGACGGTTCCACAAAAATGAGATTGACTTCATTATGACGACCAGACGACACCGTGATCGCGAGGGTGAAAACTGGTAGCGATCACCGAATGGTTAGAGGCACACTGAACCTAAACGTTAAGTTGGAGAGGTCTCGTCTAATGAAGTCAACGCTCCGTCCCCCTCGTGCTCTGTTCCAAAGTCCCGAAACCTTTCAGCTCGAGTTACAAAACCGTTTTCAGTGCCTGGAAGACTGCAATGAAGTGGACGATATGAATGACAAGCTCGTGGAAACTGTCCATGCGGTCGGAGCTAAGTTTTGCAAGACCCGCCGCAGAAGAACACAAAAACTCTCCGATCACACTCTTAATCTCATGGCTGTTAGACAGGAGATGAAGCTGCATTCTTCAACAGACTTGACAGCATACAGGCATCTGAACAGACAGATCTCCAAATGCATGCTGCGGGACTTACGCAACTTCAATACAGCTCGTATTGAAGAAGCGATCGAGCGGAACCAAGGCTCCAAAGGCTTTGCCAGAGATCTGTCTGCCAGAAAGAGCCAACTATCAAAGCTGAAGACAGAATGTGGCAGCATCGTTTCCGGGACACCTGAGATTTTGAGTGAGATTGAGAGGTTATATGGGCAGCTGTACACATCATCGTTGGAGCCACACGCAAGAGTGAGTAACGATCCAAGAGCGAGTCTCATCCGACACTATTCCGAAGATATCCCGGATGTCAGTCTGAGCGAGATTAGGATGGCTCTCCGGCACCTTAAAAACGGTAAGGCCCCAGGCGAGGATGGAATTACAGCGGAGCTTCTGAAAGCGGGTGGAATACCGGTACTTGAAGTCCTTCAGAAGCTCTTTAATTCCGTCCTCCATGGTGGCATTACACCGGAGGCGTGGAGCAGAAGTGCGGTGGTCTTGTTCTTCAAGAAAGGTGACAACACTCTCTTGAAGAACTACAGACCGATTTCCCTTCTGAGCCGCGTCTACGTGCTGTTTTCGAGAGTCATTACGAATCGTCTCGCGCGCAGACTTGACGACTTCCAGCCTCCCGAACAAGCCGGTTTCCGAAAGGGCTTTAGCACCATAGACCACATACATACCCTTCGGCAAGTTGTACAGAAGTCCGAAGAGTACAATTTGCCACTATGTCTGGCGTATGTGGACTATGAGAAAGCCTTTGATTCCGTCGAAATTTGGGCGGTGCTGCAGTCCCTTCAGCGGTGCCAAGTTGACTGTCGGTATATCGAAGTGTTGAAGTGCTTGTACAGTTGGGCTACGATGGCTATCCGAGTACAGAACCAGAGTACGAAACCTATCCAATTGCAGAGAGGTGTAAGACAGGGTGACGTCATATCCCCGAAACTCTTCACCGCTGCATTGGAAGACGTTTTCAAGCTTCTGGACTGGAAAGGATACGGTATCAACATCAATGGCGAGTACATCACTCACCTTCGATTTGCCGACGATATAGTCCTTATGGCAGAATCGCTGGAGGACCTAAGCACTATGCTCAATGTCCTCAATAGTGTTTCCCAACGGATAGGTCTTAAGATGAACATGGACAAAACAAAGATCATGTTTAATGTCCATGTCACACCTATGCCGGTAGTTGTTGGGAGCACTAAGCTCGAAGTTGTTGACGAGTATGTTTACCTGGGACAAATAGTCCGACTAGGTAAGTCCAACTTCGACCGAGAGGTCAATAGACGGATTCAACTCGGCTGGGCAGCGTTCGGGAAGCTAAGACACATCTTCTCGTCAGACATACCTCAAAACCTTAAAACGAAATTGTACAACCAGTGCGTGTTGCCAGTGATGACTTACGGAACTGAGACGTGGTCCTTCACTGCTGGCCGTATGAGAAAGCTCAAGGTCGCTCAGCGAGCTATGGAGAGGGCTATGCTCGGAGTTTCTCTGCGTGATAAACTTAGGAATGAGGATATCCGCATTAGAACCAGAGTGACCGACATAGCCCTACGGATTAGTAAGCTGAAGTGGCAGTGGGCCGGCCATATAGCTCGAAGAACCGACAACCGATGGGGAAGAAAGGTTCTCGAGTGGCAGCCTCGTACCGGTAGGCGAAGTGTAGGGCGTCCCCCCACGAGATGGAGTGACGACCTGGTAAGACATGCAGGAAGTCGATGGATGCAGGTGGCTCAGGACCGTGCTTTGTGGCATTCTTTGCGGGAGGCCTATGTTCAGCAGTGGACTTGTGAAGGGCTGTAATGATGAATGATGATATAAATTGTGTTTTGTATAAAATATTGATAACAGATGAGCAGCGGCGTCTTTCTAATAACTAGTAAAAAATTAATAAACTGCGGTTTCTCAATTCGCCTGTCACGTTTGTCAAATATCCCCTCTTGTATGCAATCCATGGGGGAGGCCTATGTACAGCAGTGGACTTTTGAAATGCTGTAACGGTAACGGTTAATAGAGACTAAAAAATATACCTTATATCTTATATTATTTAACCTTATATAAGGTTTTTGATTTATAGTTAGCTTCTGACGTTTCTTCTCGACTTTTCTTATTTACTTATGCCTTTGTTGTTTTCTGTGATCTCCAGTTTTTTATTACTTTACTGCAATCCTAAATCAACTAACGTTCACGTACAAGTTGAAAAATATAATATTGAGTGCTTATTTGATAATACAAAGATTAAAATTAATTCATTGTTTTGAATTTGTTAAAAAAATTAAAAATATTCAATTAAATTTGATTACCTTTAAGAAACTGTGCGTAAATTACAAAGTTTCAAAACACCTGTGATAGAAATGAAACGAAAGGAAAATTCATTATGTTTAACTGTTTTCAATAAATTAGGAGTTTATATAATCGACGTGTACGTTTTTATGTATATTCACCGATTTTTAACGATTCTAAATCAATATAATTTACATCCTTTTCAAGGAATAGGCTTTACCCAATAGGGGGACCCCAATTTAAATGTGAAGAAAAAAATCTATTGCATTTAAAACATGACTGACGGCAATGTAAGTTTTTTTATAGGATATGGTGACAAATGAGCACACAGTACACCTGATGGTAAGTGGTTGCTGTGGCCCATAGACATCTATATCTGTCCTCGTTTGCGAATCAAAATGTAGATGCGTTGTCACCCGTGAGGACTAAGATGGAATGCCTCTTTTCCAGTAAAAAGGGTTTTCGGATCTCTACACTCACCATACGAAACACAGCAGTGTTAAGCTGCTATTTAACGCTGCTATTCTGTGAGAGCGTGGTATATCCGTGGACCCATTCGTGCTACAACTATACTATCAACATAGCTGCAGCATGGCTCTACCACGTATAAAAGTGTTAAATAAAAAGTTTTTCCGCTTTTTGTTTTATTTATAATTTCACCTTTATGGTTAAAAGAAATTAACTATTAATAAAAACTAAAAAAAACAAAAACTTCTAACAAACATCTATTTTATTCGAGAACCACTATCCGGATTATCTGAAATATAAGTTTCAGTTCCTGCTTGACACTCATGATAGACAGCTTGTTTTTGGAGAGTCTTGGTTTTTATATACCTCGTCCCCATTCAAGTTTCATATCTTCATCGTTTGCTGTTCAAGCCGCGCGCCTATGGAATTTCCAACTGAAAAAATAAGACAAAGCAAACAAGCATTGAATACTAATGTTACAGTTCCATATTATGTAAATTTGTTTAATCAATTTATTCATTCATGTATTGTCTTATATTATAATATATATATTTATGTATTTGTGTATACGAGTGTATTATGTTTTAATATGTTTACTTTTCTAATGTTTTCTATGTTCTCTTTAACTCTCTAAGGTTGACTGACAGTGAATGCTTTTAGCATTAAGTCCGCCTTATGATCCTCTACTGTTTTTGTAAGGCTCAATGAGGATTAAATAGATACATTTAACTAAAAATAATAAACTAATTACACATTCTCAAGTTGGCACTAAGAAATCGTATACAACATTTATAATATGTTATAATCATAATACATACACTGGTGTATATGTTTAAGTATATATTTATGTGTATAAACTATGAATAAACTGTCAAATATAGTAGTTTTTAATTTATTTTTAAAAGTAACATTCGGTTCACAATTGACGAATATATCGCGTTACATATATACAAAAAACATACAGTCTCATTATTAATCTCCTCATTTTTTAAAGTCGGCTAAAAACTTATATTATTAATAAATAATACTTAATAACTCATCTGTGTCAGAGCTTGGTGTTCCGAGTGATGCAGCATCCGCAAGTGGCCGGCTTCGAGCAGTGCGTATCGTTCGGCGCGTTCTCGAGCGAGGCGCAGGAGATAGCGTACAACGTGGCTTGTCTGAGCGCGATGTACTTCGTGCCTCTGCTGATTATCTCCGTGTGTTACATCTGCATATTCTGCAGGATTCGACGCTGCAGCAACGAGCTCGATGGTAATTCAAAGTCCTTTTTTACCACATTTTTATTAAATCGCTTTCGTTTATGTCTGTTCGGGTCGAATTTAGTAATTCATTTTAACTAACTTCCCGATGAGCTAGACACTTGAAATTTTGAATTTAGCACAGAATCAGATGATAATTATGAATATAAAAAAACGTGGTATATTAGAAAATATTAATACATGTTTTTTAAAATTTCACTTGTTATAAAATTGTTGATAAGTGGTCTTTAAAAATAATTAAAAATTAAAAATTTTGTACAACTGACTTCAATATATATTACTACGATTAAATCAAAAACTGTTGGTCAGACTTTGATCATATATGGGATTTCAATATGGAACCACATGAAAAGCATCAGCTTTTAAATAAAAATAGAATAATAGAAATTGGTTCGCCCAGAAAAAGGTTATGAGGTAACAAACGTTAAAAAGAACAAAGAACATACAGTCGGATTGAGTACCATCTCCTTTCTGAAATCAGAAGAAAAGAAAATATTTGTAATTGAAATGATTATAAGGCAAATACTTTAATCGTACATCCTAGATATATAAAATTATGGTTTCTGGGTCTATTTAAAATAATAATAATTATTTTAACTGTCCATTATTATTGTTTTCTAGCGACTTCAAAAAGTAGCCAGTACTCAATTCGACTGTATGCTTTTTATGCTTTGCCATGTGGTCCCGTATAAATTTGGTCAAGGTCTGACCAATAGTTTTTGGTTTATTCTTAATAATTTATATTGAAGTCGTTTGTACAAAAATGTTTATTTTAAATTATTACTAATTAAATTAAAGTGCACTTTTACATTAATATCCGAATGTTCGTGAGTCAATTAAGGTGTCAACAGATATTCATAGAGGCGGGATCCTTTTTGACGTCACACAACTGCATAATTACCAATTTTTAATTTTTACGAAGTTCTATGTTTCTCAATATTGTGTTTTGGTCAAATAAATGTTTCTTTTTTCTTAGTTACTGCAAATCATAGGCTACATGTGTACTTTTGAGTGGAATGGATGGAATCGATTAATTTATTTGCTTTAAATTATTACCAGAATATAGAAGAAAATTAAGTAATTGTTTAGCATTCGCCCAAATCAAGAAATAGTTTTGTGAATCAATAAATTATTCTGATAGGTATTTATTCAAAATTACGGACGGTAATGACATTGCCAAAATGATTTTATCTGCTAATAATAAATTCTTTGTTTAATCTTTGTAGTTGTGCTATGGAGCGTAAATGGAAATGAGCGTTATGTCAAATAATTTTATTTACATAAATCTGAAATATACGAATTCCTAGATTTGATAAATGTATTTAATATTTTAGCTTACTAGTATAGAATAGAATATTTTTTTAGAATAGAATATTTTTTATTCAATATATATTACATGTGTAATTCTTATTGAAAGTCATTTTTTACTTTACCACTGGTTCGAAAAAAAACCCTCTGTCCTGGGAAGAACCAGCAAGAAACCCAGCGGGACTTTTTTTTAAAATAAATTTTACAATATAAATGATTACGAACTAAAATAAAATACTAATAAAAAACTAAAATAAATTTACAAAATTTATTTTAGGAACTGCTTGGAAGCGACCACCTCACTCCCAGGGGTTATTATCAACCATGTATTCATTTATATTAAAATAACCCTTTTTATACAGTTTCAGCTTAATAAAACATTTAAACTTGGTAATAGAGAGAACCTGTACACTTTCCGGGACCTTGTTGTAGCGTATACATTACCCCAAGAATGAATTACTGACTCTGTGGAGTCGAGAAACTGGCATCACTAGCTTGTGTTTGTTCCTAGTGTTTACAGAATGTATATCACTTTTTTTACTAAAACTATCTTTGTTTTTGTGAACATATATTAAATTTTCGAATATATACTAAGAGGCCAAAGTTAATATATTAATTTCTTTAAATTAATCTCTAAGAGACTCTCTCGGTTTTAGATTGTAAATAGCTCTAATGACCCTCTTCTGTAAAACAAAAATAGTTTCTGAATCAGCCGCATTTCCCCATAGCAAAATCTCATAAGACATTATGCTATGGAAATAACTAAAATAAACTAATCTAGCTGTCTCGACACTAGTGAGACCTCTAATATTTTTTACAGCATAGGCTGCAGAACTTAGTCTGCTTGCTAATTTAGATATATGGGGGCTCCACTGGAGCTTTGCGTCAAGAGTGATGCCAAGAAAAACAGTGGATACAACAGGGCTCAATTCCTCCCCATTGAAAACCACATTGGTATTCAGATTTTTAACATACGTTGTTGTAAATTTAACACAATTAGTTTTATTTCCGTTCAATTGCAGACCATTAACGTTAAACCAATGCAACAATTTTAATATAGCATTATTCACTTCGTCACATTTAAATGATTGACGTTTAAGTTTAAAAATCAAGGAAGTATCATCAGCAAATAAAACTATATCATGATTATCCCCTACAAGGTGAGGTAAGTCATTAATATACACCAGAAACAGGAATGGACCGAGAATCGAGCCCTGAGGAACACCCATTAGTACAGGTGACCCGGAAGAACTTTTACTATTGATAATAACCTTCTGTTTTCTATTACTGAAATATGAAATAATAAGTTTAAACGCTGTGTTCTTGACATCATAGTACTGTAGTTTCCTGATTAATGTCTCATGGTGAACACAGTCGAAGGCCTTGGAAAGGTCACAAAATATACCCAAAGCATCCTCTGAATTCTCCCATGCACAAAAAATATGTTTAATAAGCTCAACTCCAGCGTCAGTTGTCGAGCGACCCCTTGTAAAACCGAATTGATTTTTATGTAGCAATTTATTAATATTAAAGACACTTAACATCTGATCTAAAATAATTTTTTCAAAAATTTCACTTAATGTTGGTAGTACAGAAATTGGTCTAAAATTGGCGGGGTCTAATTTACTACCAGATATAAATATAGGTATGACTTTACTATGTTTCATTAAATCATGAAGTGACAGTAAGCTTGGCTTATATATACGATGTTTGTTCAAATTTATTATCGTTTTAACAAAAAGATAAAACGACGACGAACGATATATCAACAATACATTTTGATAGCATAAATTTTAATTAAGATATAATAAATAGTTGAACTTCAAATTACTCAGCCACTAGCCAGTTTAGAACAGCTATACAAAGTAAAGGCCTTTTATTTTAGATGTTAAAATAATCATATATTTTTTAAATTGCAAATAAATCATTTACTCAATCCAAGCAATAACCTTTCGAAGGGCTGTTATCTAAATAATACAATTTACTTTATATTTACCTAACAAAATATTATCAGGGCTTCGCGAAGTCTTATACTAGTCTTGTGGCTCCATGGCGCAGTGGCTTAGCAATTGAGTTGCAGCGCTAAGGGCCGCGGGTTCAAACCCCGCACTGAACAAGTATTTGTATGGCCTATAAATAATTGTTCCGAGTCTGTATGTTTTTCCTTGTGCAATTTATGTTTGTAAACTGCCCGCACGATACAGGAGAAAATCCTAGGGTGAAGGTTACGTTTAAAAAAAAATAATAATAAAAAAGCCGGTGAATTTTGGGACAGTTAAAAGTATTCCTTTTATATTATATACATGATGGTTTGGTGATTGGTTGTCATTGTGAGGCCATAGAGCCGCAGCGCGGGTTTCAATCCCTCACAGAACATGGTTTGTGCTGTGTGGGATATAATTGTCGGCTTTGAATGCGTCCAATGCAATTTATGTATGTAAAACGCTTCCGCGCCACACAATGCTATTGTTGGTTAGGACCAGATTTCATGATTATACGATGATGATGATAAGATCATATATTTTATATCTACATCAAAATAAGAGATATAAATGAAGCGCTCAGTTCTAATGACGCTGAAACCAAACCATTACTATGCTCAAAATAATGTAATGACACGCACTTACTCACTCGTGCATCTTATATCATTTGCATCACAATATAGTTTTAGGTGTACATGTGTGCGTCCTCGGCTGTGTATATCAACGGGCTGTTAAAGAGAGGTAGAAGAAAGATGTGTGAGCGAGTGCGTGCGTGTCAAGGAGTTGAGCCTGGTTTCGGTGTTACTCGATATGTATGCAGCCCTCCGTCTATCATTCTTGGTTGGTTAATTTCCATGTGATTTGGGATTTTTTAATATAAGAGTTACCCCAAACGAGCATGCGGCTCACCTGATGGTAAGGAGCTACCACCGCCCATGAATTACTGCAACACCAGGGGAATTGCAGGTGCGTTCCTTTTAATAAAGAGTTAGGCTCTTTTTTTAATGTCGTTAGGACATATCGGTCCCGAAAAATTGCTGGTAGTAGAATACTACAAGGAAGTTGTGTGAGGTAGAAAACTTCTGGTAAATTGCATAGTTGTGGACCGCCAATCATCCAGATGGTATGGATATCGCAAGTTTTTTCGCGACGTGCAATGTATTGGTCCGAGAGCTACTGACGCATTATTCATGAAGTGTTTGATTCATCGTGAAACTTTATTGTAAAGTATGAGTCCACTCAATAAGCAGGTATTTGACTGTTTGCCTGGCCTACCTGGGTACACCTGGTACTTCAAACATTGTTAAAAATTTGACAAGAACATTGGCTAAATTATAGTGATGTCATTTTACCAGTAAATTTATCTACAACCCAAAGTTATCATCGTCAATGATAGATACAGATATTTTTTTACTGTCAGAATTTTTTTCAATATCACCAATAAAATAATAAAAAAAAATCTTACTTCTACCAAACCGACAATTACTTCCTTATTACCATTAGCTGTAATTATTGTTGTACATTTAAGTAAACTTCATTTTTATCTACTTCTTGAAATTTTCATCTAATAAAATATATATTTAAATATCTATATAAATATTTCAAGTAAGTATAAAAATAATATAATATAACATCAACAAATATAACAATATAACTTAAGTTCAAATATATAAATAATAATACACCGTTATTGCAGTTTTTGAAAATACGAATAAATAAGGCTTCTATTTTTATTTGAAATTGTCTCAAATTGAATGTGATTTATGGGCAACAACGATTTTGCCTACTGTGTGCGTGTGCAGTAAAATCAGTTAAAATAATGCATTACCACGTATTTTGAATTTAAAAGATAAAAAGGTCAGAATGTTTGAGATGTGTTTTTAATTAACTTTTCTTCACCGTTTGCCTAATTTACTTATTCTAAACCTTCTCTGCAAATTTGTTATAGATATTAATTATTTAATATATAAAATATATTATTTAAATAATTAATATCTTTGAAAAGTTTAAAATCTATAATGTTACTTTAAGTTTTTCTTGACTCTAAAACAAAACTGGAATGTAAAAAGTTATAATAAACTTTTTGTTATTTGCAAAATACTTCCTAGCCTTGAAAAGGTCCACTAATTGTTGGCACTGAAACAGTTCTATAATGATCAGTATAAAGTACGAGTACAAACACCTATAATACTACATACGTGAGAGGATGTAAGTTTGTCCGACCATCTGTAATACTATTACGGCAAAAGAACCAACAAGTATTAATTTAACACCCACAATATTCAAGAAAATACTTGGTTTAGAAAACATAGCAGTATAATTAACAAATTATCCCTACAAACTCTACTTACAGAGTTCGCCGCAACATAATATATTCTTACCGCATTATTCATAAACGTCTAATAAACCTCGTGTAGCTATCATGTCTTTTGTATTATGTTAAGCAATACTTATGTACTATGTATTTAAACTTAAGTAAATAATTAAATCAATATAACAAGGAGGAACCACCTACACTTAATAAAATGAGTGATAATTCCACCTACAAATTACTGCACTGTCCAGTGAGCTTAAAAGTTATGTACTTTTTTTGGTCCAAATAAAAACTTCTATATACTTTTATTAAAAATGAAGTAATAAACAAACTTCCACTTTAAAAAATATATAATAAGGGTGACAAGCGAGCACACAGTCCACCTGAAGCTAAGTGGATGCTGTGGCCCATAGACATCTATATTTATCTTCGATTAAGAATGAAAATGCAAATGCATTGTCACCCCTGAGGACTAAGATGGAATGGAATATCTTGTTTCCGGCAAAAAGGGTCTCCACTCTACACTCACCATATGAAGTTACGCTGGTATTCATTGAGAGTGTGGTCCGGGTGGAGCGGACTCATTCGTACTGCAGCTATAATATAACCGCAGCGTGGCTAAGTGGCACCTCATGGTAAGTGACTACTGCTATCCATGGACACCTGCAGCTAACTTCAAACAAACATACTACACATGCGTTGTCTCTTCTGAGGACTTAATTGGAATGTCCCACAGCCTATAATGTTACTGGCTTCCGATACCCTTCCGAGCGCAAAACAGCAGTGCAATCACGGCTGTTTGGCGGCAGAAAAAGAGTCCAAGAAATAAATTTAGAGTTTAAAATATAGTTATACCCTATTATTCATAAACATTTTTAAACACTTAATTAGTTAAATAATGTTTGTCACTTCTAGCAACAAGTATCTCGCAAATGACAGAATGAGACAAAACACGGTGAAAGAACGGTGGTAGAGCCACGCAGCAGTTTTTGCTGTTGCACGTATGGGCCGGCTCGAGCCGGGTTGGTATCACGACCTCACAGAATACCGGCGTGAAGTAGAAGCTCTTTTTCTGCGTTTCGTCTGGTGAGTGCAGGTGGCCGGTGGCGCAATTCCCCCTCCCCCCCATCAACATGGTAGCGGAATTACATGTTAGACTACCCCATGAGGGTACCAGCACCCCTGGAGAATCCCTCTCTGAGCATCCACGACCATGTTATTCCACTCCTGAGCGTGGGTGCTCAGGCTGCCCCGCGTATTCTGGGGGGGGGGGGGGAGGGCAAAATTCCGCTCAAAAACATAACTGCTCGGGGCAAACTGAGCAACAATACCAAGGCGACCCCTGCCACGCTTATCGTGAATTTCTGCAATATCAGGGGACTTCATTCAAACCTTAACGCCGTCCACTACCATCTGGAGATAACAAAGCCGGCCTTGCTCTTTCTACACGAGACACAGGTGTCCTCTCAGGCTGATACTACAAAGTACCTCTCCTGCCCGGGATACAAATTGGAGCACTACTTTGTGCCTCGGGCTGGAGTTTGCGTGTATGTCAGAGAGGACATCTGTTCTCGACGCCTCGGTAGTCTTGAAGGTTCGGACCTGTCCATCCTTTGGCTAAGCGTAGACAGCAACGACCATCCGCGCGTCTACGGGTGCCTCTATAGGTAGCAGTAATGCCGAAACAGACCGACTCATCGACCACGTCCAAATGGCTACAGATTCCTTGCTACAACAGGTCCCATCCGCAGAGATCGTGATCCTTGGCGATTTTAACGCCTACCACGCCGAATGGCTCGGTTCACGTTTAACTGATCATGCGGGGAGATCTTTTTATGACTTTGCTTTGGCATATGGTCTGACACAACTGGTTACTTCGCCTACGCGGATTCCAGATGTGGAGGATCATACACCTTCCCTGTTGGACCTTCTGCTGACCTCTCATCTGGACGGATATCAGGTTTCCGTCGATGCCCCTCTCGGCTCTTCGGACCATTGTCTGATCCGGAGTGTAGCGTTCTGCAGGTTGCCGCCGTGTTTAGCATTACAAGTCGGCGGATTGGGACGGAATGTAGTCTTTCTTTGCATCCTACCCATGGGGGCGGGTTTGCTTCTCGCTGGATGATCTCAGCGCTGTTGCTGACTCAGTCACTGATGTGGTGATACAGGGAATGGAACTATTTATTCCATCATCTGTGGTACCCATCGGAGGCAGATCCCAGCCTTGGTTTGGTCGCTCCTGGAAAACTGCATTACGCAGTCAGCAGGAGTGTTATCAAGCCTGGGCTGCGACTTCGGTGACTCAGGATGTAAACACCAGCACATTTAAAAAGAAGTATAACTTCGCCTCCAGGTCCTTCAAAAGAGTTATTGCCAAGGCGAAGCCAGAGCACATAGGCAGAATTGGCGAGAAACTAGTTCGCCTTACTTCGGGAACCCGTGCATTCTGGTCTCTCGCTCAGAATGTGCAAGGAAATTTCTGTAAGCCATCACTACCATCTCTGCACAGGGAGGACGACTCACTAGCCCAAGACGCAAGAGACAAAGCCGACCTTTTAGACTCCCTTTTTGCGTCCAACTCGACTCTTGATGACGGGGGGAAACACCGCCGACCATCCCGCGGTGTGAGTGTTCCATGCCGGATGTGCTGTTCTCACAGCGCTCGGTTCGCAAAGCACTCCTCTCCCTGGACATCCACAAGTCGAGTGGGCCTGACGTAATCTCCCCAATTGTGCTGAGAACGTGTGCTCCGGAGTTTGCACCGGTCCTAACGCGTCTTTTCCGGTACTCCTACTCCAAAGGCGTAATCCCAAATTCATGGACGACAGCTTTTGTCCACCCGATCCGATCAGCTGGTGATCTTTTGGTCTACCTGACCCATGGATGGGCGGAGACAGTAGAGTCCAAGGGGGAGACGTTGGCCGTTAATTTGGACATTGCGAAGGCCTTCGATCGGGTTTGGCACAAAGCGCTTCCTTCGAAGCCCGAGAAATTGTGCAATTGGATCACCAGCTTCCTTGCACATCGGAGCATCAAGGTCGTTGTAGATGGTGCATGCTCCGACTACAAGCCTATTAACGCTGGTGTTCCACAAGGCTGTGTGCTATCACCAACGCTGTTTCTTCTGCACATCAATGATATGTTGCTAAATGGTAACATTCATTGCTATGCGGATGACAGCACTGGTGATGCTTTGTACACCGGCCGTACCAATATTCTCGGGAAAATGTCGCTGAGTACCGGACCAAACTTGTGTCTGAAATCGAGTCTTTGCTGAACAAAGTCTCGGATTGGGGGCGACTAAATTTAGTCCAGTTTAATCCTCAGATTAAAAAAAAACCCCTTTGTCGTATCTCCTCAGTTTCAAGGCACTCCCCTTCTTGCTTCAGCCAGTATCGGAATCCTCGGAGATGACATATCGAGTGACGTGCAGTTTCGTGGTCACTTGGAAGAGAAGGCCAAATTGGCCTCTAAAAAGCTTGACGTGCTCAACAGAGCGGGACAGTATTTCATGCCGACACACCGCCTGCAACTTTACAAGGCGCAGCTTCAGCCTCTCATGGAATACTATTCCCATCTCTGGGCAGGTGCTCCCCAGTGCGAGCTTCTTCCACTTGACCGCATCCAGCGCAGAGCGGCTCGAATCGTCGACATCCGGGTCCTTTCCGATCGGCTCGATTCATTGGCTTTGCGAAGGATGTCGCATCCCTTTGCATTTCCTTTCGCATCTACCACGGGGAGTGCTCTGAGGAATTGTTCGGATTAATCCCAACCGCCGAATTTCACGAACGCACATCGCGGCAGAACTCCCGATACCACCCACCCCATTTGAATGATTGGCGGTCCACCACTGTTCGATTTAGAAGATATTTTCTTCCTAGCACGACTTCCTTGTGGAATCGATTACCATCAGCGATTTTTCCGGACCGATACGTCTTAGGGACCTTCAAGAAAAGAGCGTACTCCTTTTTAAAAGGCCGGCAACACATGTGCAATTTCCTCCCTGGTGTTGCAGTTGTTCATGGGCGGCGGTAGTCACTTACCATCAGGTGAGCCGCATGCTCGTTTACCCCCTCTCCCATAAAAAACATTATTTAACTAATCAAGCGTTTAATTTATTTTATGAATATGGGGGTAAGGCTGTAAACCATTCCATCTTAGTCCTCAGAGATGACACCGCATCTCTTTGTTTAAACATGGCTGCAAGTGTTTATGGTCCGCAGTAGCTACTTACCATCAATTGGACTGTTCGTTCATTTGTTGATTAGTGTCATAAAAAATACTAACCAGAGCATTGTTTCTCAGACAACTGCATCCATAAGAAGGAGAGCATTTCTGGCGTCCGCTTGCGACGTTCCGACCACCGGCTGCTGGAGCGGGCGAAACGCCGCACGCTGCGTATGACTGTCATCATCGTCACCGTGTTTGCTTTATGTTGGCTGCCATATGCCATCATGACCATGTGGTAAAACTTACATTTAAATAACATCTTTTTATCATTTTCATTATGACGGCTTCGTGGCGCACTAGCTTAGCCATGAGTTGTAACACTAGGAGGAGCGGGTTCGAGTCCCACGTGGAACAAGTATTTCTATGGCAAACAAATAATTGTTCCGGGTCTGAATGTTCGTCCTTGTGCAATTTATATTTGTAAACTTCCTTCACGATACCGGAAAAAATCTAATTGCGGAGGTAACGTTATTCCTAAATAAAATTAAAAAAATTGCAGTAATAGCTCAGAGAAATGAACATGTGCCTCTAATGTAGTTGGAAGTGTTTATTATCATTGTCACAACTTGGCGAGGGATTTGCCAAAGACTAGAGATGCCGTGGTATGCGAGCAAACTGGTGATCGAACTTCGGCACCAATGAAATTGAGAATTACCATTCTAAAGTACCTCGTGCTCGGCGGTGAATTAAAACAGTGAGGAAACTTACATATCTGAGAAATCAAAAAAAAATTGTGGGACATGTTAAGTCCGTCAACATGCACTGTAGTAGCACGGTTGACTAATTGCTCCATAACGTTCTCAGAAAAAAGAGTAGAGAAAAGAAAAGAATTAGTGAGTCGACTTCAGAACGTTAAATTAATTTTTTCGTTATTTGAACATTTTTTAAAATTAGTTGGTTTTTTGGTATTTTTTTTTGTTTTAATTGAGTGGACCAAGGAATTTCACAATTTCAACGTCATCTGAATATGCACATTAAAAACTCCATCCCTTATTTTGCACTCTAACATATAACCTATTTAATAACAAAATATCCTATTAAGAAATAATCATCAACGTTCACAATTGACGAAAATATCGCGTACAAGATACAAAAAACATAGCCGAATTGTAAACCTTTTCCTTTTTTTTGGATAAAAACCTTTAAAAAATTCGTTTATATATAAAAATTTGATCTTGAAAATATTTCTATAGGAACACTTAAAATCATTTCGTCTTATGTTTTTTTTAGATTCATGAATTTATCGTGTTAATAAAAATCCAAGGTACATGGTAGACCGCCGTTCAGCATCACGCGTGTCACCGCAACTTCAGGACCTGTTGTTTGCGATGGCAGTCTCCAACTCCTGCATGAACCCCATAGTGTACGGCTCCTACACGCTACGCTCCAATGAAACCGTTCAGACGCTGCTGAAGAAAATATGCTGCTGGTCGACTTCTTCTGCAACTAACACAGGTCGTTTTTATTCACCTTATTAACACAGCTCAAACAATTTCATTTAAAATGCGCCATAGTAACAAAGATAATTTAGTCTAACCACGTTACACTTTAAGCATTCTTGAAATTTGAACGGAACTGCTAAATTAAAATAATTAACATTTAGGTTATTTAATAACAGACAATCAAAATTATATAATTTTAATTGTAGATTATTTAATAACAGATAATTAAAATTATATAATTTTAGCGTAAAATTCTACCTGTAAATTTCATAGTACGTGAGCATCTCGGGTTCGATCCCTCCGGCAACATTGAAATTGTTAATTGCAATTTTAAGTGCTGATTTACCACGTGCTCGGCGATGAAGGAAAACATCGTGAGGAAACATGCATGTTAGAGAAATATAGAAAAACAAAATACATATATTTCTAAGACACGTGGAGTTCACCACCATACATTGGGGCAGCGCGTCGGATATTACCTTGCTCTAAAATCCGTTCAGAGATGAGAGGAGGCCTGTGCCCAAGAGTGGGACGCATATAGGCTGTAACCTCGTATTTTAGTAAAAATATTTATCATTTAACAGAAGTTATTTCAAAATCAGTAATTGCAAGCAGATTCTATAAATAACTTTCTTGCCTTCAGGCAATGCTGGATTTACTACACATGAAAAGAAATTGCGTAATATCGACGACCCTGCAATGAAATTGAATAAGGTAAGAACGTATTTATAAACGTAATATTATGTTTATCTGTTAGGCGTAAGCGAATTAATCACCCGATTTCAACCCGTGAGTGTCTTAAGAGGTGAATATGGGAAATACCAGACTGATTACCTCGTTAGTCTAGTGTTTGTAAACGCGTTGATCATGAGGGTTGAGATAGAGGGAATAGAGAGTGCACCTGTGCGGTATACGGTATTTGACTTGTGACAAGGCATTACATATTGGAGCTAGGACAATGTATTTGCATTTTAAGAATAAAATTGTAAATACGTTGTCACGCCTCCATAACAGATGTGCGTGCATCGGCCACAGCATTCTCTCACCATTAGGTGGATTGTGAGCTCGTTTGTCATATAAACTTCCATAAACAATTTTAAAACGGTTTCTATGTGTTGTACCTACCTTCATCCCCAAATTAATTGAATATAAAATTATTTATTTTTGGCGGCTAATTTTTACTAAACGCCTTTCTAAATTTAAGAACTCTCCAATACAGACGATTTTTGATGATGGCGACAACTGTCGGAAATGTACAGGTAACTTAGTTGTAGGAAGCCAATGATGGGTCACTAATAATTAAAGTACCATCATATTTGCATGCGGTAAGTTACCGGGAGTAGATAGAACACACAAACACAAACACGCACATGCGCGGGCACATGTGCACTCCCACGTGGCTTCACACACGCACACATGCACACACACTCACGAACGCATGAATGCACACACACTCACACACGCACGCATGCACGCTCGCACGCATTAATAATACACGCATGCTCGGACGATTTTGACGCTCGAGAATTGAAACTTCTTGAAATAGTATATGCTCGCAAAAATATGCGCATTACAAAAAATACTCAATTAAACGAAATGGATTTTTATATGAAATGAATTTAAAAAAATATATAATTTAACTGCTGTAAAAAAAATTGATGTTCGAGTTCTCGTTTATTTAATAGATACCATATAATATTTTGACAGTATGAAAGGCATGTTATTGAATTAGTTTATTGGATAGACATTCATAGATACTTCATTTTAATTTAAATCCTCCGCTTGGTGATAAAACGTTTCAAATATAAGTAACTTTTTAACACTTAAATTTTTTTAAAACAAAATAAGTGAAGAATTAACGGTTGGGATGCATTAAGATAAGGAAGGATACCAATTTATGCATCAAAAAGACTACTTACCTGATTGTAATGATGAATAATAGGTAGTAAAAGTTGTTGTTTATCTCATTTCTGAGCAGTTCGTTAACCCGCGGACGCACTTGGGCGTGCGTTTCGCGGAGACGCCGCTAGTGGAGGCGCAGAGGGCGCGCGAGTCGCGTGCGGAGCGCGTGCCCGCCCGACGTCCGCCGCCGCGCCTGCGCTGCGCGCCGCACGAGCGCCAGCGCGCGCTCCTCCAGTGCCGAGCAGACAACTCGCCGCATGTCTAGACCCACCCGAGTGCCGCCGTCTGTGCACATGGACCACTTTGAACGCGAAAATAAAAACAAGTAAAAGTGACAAACGAGCACACGGTATAACTAAGAAAGATTTTGGTGAACTGTGGACTCGTTTATCTTTCTATGAAATAATAAAAAGAAAAAAAAAACAAATGTCATTGTCAATGTATTTGTCTAATTCTTTCAGTCTGTGCGAATACACAGTCGATGTGGCATTGAGGACGCAAGAGTATTTATATATCGCTTTTAAGACTATCTTGTCAATAAATGGTTGTAAAGATTGGTTGTAAGATTTTGATACTTTGAAGTAATATTTTATATACAACGTTAGCTGTACTCTGTATATTTTTAAATAATCTAAGTATAACTCATGACGTTATAATTCACAACGCCCTATCAACTCGTGGGTAACCTAGGAGGAAACAGAGGAAACTGAAACATGAGATGGGAGTTTTCCCGATAACAACTTAATATAATAATAAAATGCGTTTGCAAATCCACCTGCCAACTATGAGAAAATCCCGATAAGGCAATCTGGCCTATGTTCCGCAGTGGACTGAGGTAGTTTGTAGTAAATGAATAAAAGTAATGTAACTTCCTTAACACATATATACGTCCCAATAAATTTCCTCATGGTCTACAAAATTATTCATAAAGATTTAATCGATTGTGATTTAGGATTTTTTCTGTTAACTTTTATGGTGGTTGTGTAAGTTGAAATTTCATATACTTCATTGTTTAAATAAGACTAGTTTTACGGATCTTATCATGTATATTAACTTATTTTATATCCCCGACGTTTCGGGTGTTTTACAGCCCCATGGTCACGGGGGACTGAGGTGATTGACGTCCCGATGTCAGAGTTAACCCGCAGTACCTTCAGCTTTTTTAATTATTAGTTTTGATCCGATTTAGGCAAAATGAACTTACTGTGTCCTGAAGTCTTGCAGTGGTATGCTTGGGCTTAGTTTTAATTTTATTAATTACAGGATCCCAAGCAAGTGGTAGTACACAGCCTCCCTCTCTACTGAAATTAGTGTGTTTTTTAACTTCAACAGCCTCGTGTATCATCCTTGGCAGGAATCGATGTTTTTTCTTCCAGCTACTATTTAAATTTAGAGAACAGGAAATAGTCCAATGGTCCTAAATCAAGTGAATATGGGGGGAATCAGGCGAATATAATATTTGAAACGGAGTTCATAAAGCTTAGTCATTACTACAACTTATTTGTGCGCGGGTGCATTAACCTGATGAAGAAGGAATTTCCTGTTGGCCAATCCCGGCCGCTTTTCACGATTTTCGACATGTTTCGACATGTCTGTCTTTTGGAAAGGTAGTAAATAAAAATAACCGTGTAATCCCAAAACACTGATGCCATCTAAATTTCCCGCCAACTTATGCGACTTGGCTTTCATTGGTGGCCGAGAATCGCTACGTTTCCACTATTTCGAATATTGTTTTGTGTTGGAAATGTAGAGGTGAATCCAAGTTTTATCAGTGGTTATAAATTTTCCTAAACAGTTGCTAGTATTTGATCGAAACAACTCCAGATTCTACCTTGAGATTTCAACTCTGTTAAGTTTTTGATCGGCGGTGTTTATTGCCGACACCTTTTTCATTCATAGATCGTCGGTTAAAATATTAACACCAATGATATTTTTATAGATACGTTATATGCCCACAAAACCACCGAAAAAAAATATGTTTCTCTTACATTTCACTACGTTCTCTCTCGCTCTTCATGTTCTTATCCCATCAGTTCTGGAACGTCTATTGCTCTCCTTTTTTTGAACTACGCAATCATGGTGTCATATTTGTTAGACAAAGGAATAAGTTTCATAAAACATAATAAAATCGGCTTACTTACTTATAATATGATATTCAGTGAGCTTTGTTTGATTTGCACACATCACACACGACAACATTTTGAAGCTTTGTATTTACCCTCTTTTTATATATACATATAATTGTGAAACTCCCGCTTAGTTCAGATCTCTATAGTGTCAATTATTTCACGCACTTTCAACCTTCGGTCTTCTAAAACCATTTAGTGGATTTCGTCCATGATTTCTGACGTGATGGACGTCAACGGGCTTCCACTTCTCGTGCTATCTTCGATGATTTCTCTGCCGTATTTCGACAAAGCTGCCCACTTATCTACCGACTTCAAAAAGGAGGAGGTACTCAATTCAACTGTAATTTGTTACCTCTTAAATTTTTTCTGGGTAAACCGAGTTCGATGAATCTTGTTTTATTTGAAAGCTGGTGGTTTATGTTTATGGTATATGTATAATGTAATAATGTACAATGAAGTCGCTTGTAGATATTTTTTAATTTTAAACTATTTAGTGTGGAATTCGAAGTGGCAGATTCACTTAATGTGTTATCCATGTCTTCTTTGATTTGGCTTGGCGTCTTTATTATTTTTTGACGAAATATTAAATCACAGCTCTTATTTCACTTTTTTGCATTTATAGGAGGCTATCACAATGGCAATTAACCTACGATTAAATAAGTAATCAAGCTATCGAATGAGTACATTTATACATTTACCCTCAAATCTCAGCTAGGCCGAGAATATTTCAAACCGCCCGCGTAGTACGACTTCTGTCAAAATTTTCAAGTATAAATGACAAGACACAGCCTGGTGTTCACTTAATCACAGTATTTTACAATAAGTTTAAAAAAGTGTTGAATGCTGCACTAAGCAATCTCGACAAATACAGAAAGGAACGTTGAATTCATATCGTCATACAAACCAACCAAAAAAAAAACGAGCTGTAACTGGTAGACATTTATATTTGATGTGTTGTATTTTAGTGTTCCAAGAACATTACTTGTGAACAAATTACTCTTAAGTGTTGTTCTCTTTTGGTGTACAAATAATAAAAAAATGTGTAAAGTAAGTGAGTTTTATTTCACATCACTACGTTTCAAAAAAGTGTTTTTTTTTTAAATTTTCACTTTAGTTATTCGTTTTTTTTTTTATATAGTGGAGAACTTTAGCTCTATAAAGATAGCAGTGAAAAGTCAGCAGAAACATAAAAATTGTATCCAGGAATTTGTAGCTAATTTGTTGCTAATTAGTTACCAAAATCGCGATTTTGTTGCTCCAACCGGTTTTGAGTAAATTGAATTACTGCTATCTTTACGTTAAGATAGCAGTAAAAAGTTTAAATGAACCCCGCCGTAGCGGATAAAACGGGATAATTTGTTGCTAATTAGTTGCTGACATACAATGCAAAAAAGAAAAATTAAATTAAAATCTAAAATTAAAAAAAATCAAAAATTAATAAAAATCAATTTATGTTTTGATACTGATTCTGAAGTTCCAAATTAATGAAAATTTTGCTGCTAATGAATAAATAGATCAATAACTCCCAGACAGCCTACAACAACATAAAATCGGTCGAAAAGCTGTATCAAGTAATAAGTTACAAATAAAGGTGTACATGCTGCCTATACGGGAGATTCAAAATCAGAACAACAGATATATTGTTGCTGTTCAGTTATGAAAGCATAAAGAACCAAGTATTAAGTTAGTAATTATTTGTGTACAAGTTATATTTTTATGAAAACTTTAGAGAAAAATATATCAGATATTTTGTTGCTAGCCAGTAATTGAAGCAGCAAGTCATAAAGAGCCAGCAACAAAATAAAATAGATAGATAAGCTGCACCAAGTAATAAGTTAATAATTATTTGTGTATATGCTATATTTACATGAAAATTACAGGAAAAAAGATAGTAGATATTTTGTTGCTGGTCAGTAACGGAAGCAGCAACTCATAAAGAGCCAGCAACAAAATAAAATAAATCAATAAGTTGCACCACGTTATAAGTTAGTAATTAATTGTGTACAAGCTATATTTTTATGGAAATTTTAGGAAAAAGGTAGCAGATATTTTGTTGCTGGTCAGTTCTAGAAGCAGCAAGTCATAAAGAGCAAGCAACAAAATAAAATCGATCGATAAGCTGCACCAAGTAATAAGTTAATAATTATTTGTTTACGAGCTATATTTACATGAAAATTATAGGAAAAAAGATAGTAGATATTTTGTTGCAGGTCAGTGACGGAAGCAGCAACTCATCTAGAGCTAGCAACAAAATAAAATAGATCCGAGAAGTTGCTCCACGTTATTAGTTAGTTATTATTTGTGTACATGCTATTTTTCTATGAAAATTTTAGAAAAAAAAAATGAAGCAGATATTTTGTTGCTGGTCAGTAACGGAAGCAGGAACTCATCTAGAGCTAGCAACAAAATAAAATAGGTCCGAGAAGTTGCACCACGTTATTAGTTAGTTATTATTTGTGTACATGCTATTTATCTATGAAAATTTTAGAAAAAAAATGTAGCAGATATTTTGTTACTGGTCAGTAACGGAAGCAGGAACTCATAAAGAGCCAGCAACAAAATAAAATAGATCGCCAAGTTGCATTACGTTATTAGAAATTATTTATGTACATGCTATATTTTAATAAAAATTTTAGTAGATAGTAGAGATTTTGTTGCTGGTTCTTAATGAGTTGCTGCTTCGGTTACTGACCAGCAATAAAATATCTACCATCTTTTTTCCTATAATTTTTATGTAAATATAGCTTGTACACAAATAATAATTAACTTAATAGTTGGTGCAGCCTATCGATCAATTTTTTTTTGTTGCTGGCTCTATACGAGTTGCTGCTTCCGTAACTGACCAGCAACAAAATATCTGCTATATTTTTCTTAAAACTTTCATAAAAATATAACTTCTAAACAAATAATTACTAATTTAATTCTTGGTGCAGCTTATTGATCGATTTTACTTTGTTGCTGGTTCTTTGTGACATACTGCTTTCGTTACTGACCAGCAACAAAATATCTGCTATATATTTTTTTCTAAAATTTTCATGATATAGCTTGTACACATATAATTATTTTTTTTATAGGATAAGGGTGACAAACGAGCACACAGTCCACCTGATGGTAAGTGTTTGCTGCGGCCCATAGA